ATTTTTGAAACTGGGCATAAAAGCGCGGGGCGGCCATACTGTAATTCTTATCCCTCCCCTCATTATTCGCCAAACAAACGTTCCAAAACCAATTGGAAATACGACATAAATAAAGCCTGCGCTCCACCTGGCGGAAGCGAAATAATGAGAGTTTATGTTAACATAAAACGCGCAGAATTCCTCCCCAGTGCCCCAACGGAGACGGAGTGCGATCAATAATATAACGAGTAAAAGAGAGACTTTGAAAAATGGGTAAATGAACTGATAATATTCGGAACGATTCATGATAATTTCTGGTGATTGACGGCATCATGCTGCCTGGAGACCACGACCGACTTCAGACAGAGCCTGAAAACTATGTGAAAAACTTTTACGAGTTATTCAAAAGCATCGCCGAGGCACAGAGGTACACAAAAACAATACTCCGATGTGTATTATAACCTAGAAATCCTTGCATTGTTTACTTCAGTGTTGAATCGTTAAGTGATTTTTGTATTTTTCACATTCAATGGTTACAGTTATTTTTCAACAATTCCCAACCACAAATAACCTTCAATTTCTTAACACATATACTTTTAATAGATCTCAAGTCTCATCGAGTTATTTTCATAGGTAACCTCATGCGTTTAATTTAATTGAATTGCAGGTTGAGAAATGATTGGAAAAAATGTAAAAAGGTGCGGTTAAACAAGAAGAGAGACAAGAAAAAAGTGGACATTAGTGCGGATTTGAGTTACACAAGTCCTCCAGAGATTGAGGTATCGAGTAATGCATCGGCATTCGCTGTTTTCTCGAGTGTCAGGAATACAGTGCTCGATAAAAATGGTAGAATTACCGGTGAAACAATTAGAGCTTCCAATTGCAATTCTCCCCAGCCATTGGAGCTCAGTGATACCATTGAAAGTGATAGCGATGATGAGGACAGGATATCATCGACTCAGAGTTTACCAAAGATTGTGGGCATTGGGTTGAGAAGTGTTTTCATGCTAGTGAGAGAGAGTAGAAATATCGAGCCAATTCTCTGTGCTAAAGCACTCGGTGCTCTGCTGGATGTACTCCAGGGACAACTTCCAGAAGGTCTAAAGTGTGAACCAGAGGATGTGGTCGATCCCCTCTTCGACCTGCTGCTGGATCTTGCTACGTCCCATGGTCCAGAGTCAACAGTTGCCAACGATGGAACACATCTGACAGCAGTGGCATGTGCCTGTCTTGTGAGTCTTGTTGTGGTTAGAGGTGATACTGGAAGGCTTTTGGCTGCCATTGCTGCTCTCCTCATGTGTCCAAAGGCATTAGCCATTCAGAATATTCAAATGCCATGTGTTCTGACATCTCTTCAGAGGAGTGTCGAGGCTGTTTTATTAGGAAAACTAACGAGACCCGATTGGATAACCTGTGGTGTTCCAAAGACCTCGAGAATTTACACATTCAAGGTTACTTTACCCAGTGATATGGGTAATGTTACGTTGAATGGGAGGAGTTTTGTCAGTGATGGAAAGTACCTGTATCTCCACACCAATTGTGGATTATTGAAAATTGGTAGTGGATATGGTGGTACTGTTGGTGGGCAGCTGTATGGGCACAAACCTGATTTTTATCCCAGTGAAATTGGATGGCTGGGGTATGCCAATAATTCTCTGTACTTCAAGTGCTCACCGAGAAAGCAGTGTGAATTATTGGAGCTGGATGTTGAGACTCTGGCAGTGAGAGGTATTGCTGTTCTCGAAGGTCGTGACTGGCCCTCATCAGTCATGTTCTCTGATGGTGAACATCTTGGAATGATAACAGCTGGCAAGGACGAGGGTTTTGTTGTGCGTACGATAAATACATTGAGTAATCCAGTGACAGTGACATCAGAATTACCTCTTAAACTAGCAAGAAAGTGCGTCGATGTTTTTGGTTGGGCGACATTCGACGAGGAGCAATCAGTTCACACATTAAATTCAACGTGTGATGATGAAATAGTCATGGTAACAGCTGGAAAAGAATTCAGTCTACTGAAAACAGCCTCAGGTAAACTATTGTACACTGGAAGAGGCAATGCCCTCGGAATGAAGAGCAATACGAGGCCAAATCGTTGGCTAGATTTTCCCCTGGGAAAGAGTTCACGTGTCATTAATATAGCAGCTGGTCATGATGGACAGCATGTTATCCTAGTCATTGAGGATGGAACTGTTTTGTTCGCTGGAACAGCAAGACGTGGTGAGGATGGTGATAATTCGAAAGTACGACGAGCTTTGAAGCCAGTTAAACCAAAGAAAATGCTCAAAGCTGAGGGGCATTGCATCGTTGATGCTGCCTGCAACAATGGATCAACAGCTCTGGTCACTAAAGAGGGCTCGTTACTCATGTTTGGTAAAGATACACTGCACAGCGATCCCACGACTGGTATTGTTACCGATCTCAAGGAGGTATTCGTACAAAAAGTCGCCCTTGGCAAGGCACACGCTGCTGTACTCACCAATAAGGGACACCTCTGGACATTTGGAATAAATAATAAAGGACAATGTGGGAGGGAGTTTACGGTGTCTCGGAGTATAATGAATAAAGAGGTGACTGTTGTTGCTATGGAGACTGGCACTGGTGAGGATGAAATAATTGTCGCTGAGGATGATGGTGGTGAACAGGTTGAAGAGTGGGAGGAGGCACGAGGTATGTGTCCACCTGGTCAGCATCAGTGGAGGCACAGGGCTTGCATGGTCTGCACTATTTGTCGAGAATGCACTGGTTTTGGTATATCATGCCTCAGTAGTATTCTACCGAATCGTAATCCAAAGAGGCCTGGACAGTGAGCATTAATACAATTACTCTTTCATTATTATTATTAAAGAACATTAAATAATATTTTTGAATAATTTAATATGTATTATTCAATATTATTTTTATATTTCTTTAATAATATCTCTATTGAGTGAATGGTTTTTATGATATTCATTGGTATTATCTTAGGGAATGTGGCTGTGGCGTAGGGGATAGCGGCTGTGCTGAATGCGGTTGTTGTAGAATCTGTGCCAGGGAAAATTGTGACAATGGCGGTGATATGGCTGTTTTTGGACCATCCGGTGCTGGAGATATAGGCATGATGAGATTGCACATATTATTTGAAGGTAGACCAAGTCCTACCAGCCACCCGTGCCGGCTGGTTCTCACATTTTATTCTCTAACCCTCAGTTTAACTGTTTATTCATAACGCAATCAGTATTTGTGCAAGAAAAAGAACAATATCAGCTTGCTAGGGTCTGGTGGTAGGTGATATGTTATGACTGAATAAAATTAATTGTTTTATCTGTCTTTATGTAGGAAAGTCTGGGTCTAATCTCAAGGATTACTTGAAGAGACGACTCGAGGAGAGAAAGCAACGCCAGAGAATGAAGGCTGGACCAAGTACTGTTAAATGGTGCATGAAGATGAAGGGATCCAATAATCAGAGATCAGGTAAATTCATCTCCTCTCTATTTTCATAATTTTTTTTTTTCATCGGAACCATTTTTCCAATAATAAAATATATGGTTATAATAGGAATTTATTAGTTCAAAGATCTCGTGAAGTGGCTTATTTTTGTTTATATTTGTTAGACTCATAGATATTATTCATGTAATAATTTTTCTCATGTGCCCCTACATGAGAACTAGTCATTAAAAAACCGAGGGAATCGTTTGGTATTTCAGTTGGTTCAAGTGTTGGTGCAGCTGGTAAAGCGGCTCCTGGTAAAGTGCCTTTAAGTAGTCTCCTCGGAGAGGAGGCAGTTGGAGGGAGTGATGCTGAACGAGGTGATGCCACGAGAATAGCCAGTATACCACCAGCGAGAGTACCGATTCCAAGTGATAGTGCAATTGTTCAAGTGACGTGTGGACTTCATCACACCGTTGTCCTTCTGCAGAATGGCCAGGTGTGGAGTTTTGGTAACAATATGTATGGGCAGCTCGGTGTTGGGGATTTAGTGGCTCACGCTGGGCCAGTGCAGGTTAAAATACCAACAGCAGCAACTCAGGTAGTCGCTGGGAGTAATCACACTGTTGTACTCACCTCGAGAGGTGAAGTTTACACATTTGGTGCTTATCAAAAAGGCCAATTGGGTATGAATTGGTGGAGTGGACAAAATGGTGAATCAAATTCAGTGTCGCATAGATCAGATAGATCACAGCCCTGGCACAGCTTTCCAAATGTTGTCCCGAATATTGGCCCAAGATGGGGAAGACGTGCTACTTGGATCGGTGCAGCTGGTGATCAAACTTACGTCAAAGTCGATGAGATTAATTCAATCAGTCTCAACAAGAGCACAGTATTAGCGAATAAGAGCTGTATTTTACTGATTCCCCATCAACACGAGCACTCAAATACCTTCAAGTGTTTGGTGATCAATAAACGCGATGGCAGCTGCAACAGCTTCACTGGAAATGATCAAGTGGATTTCAATGAGTGCGCAGTGTGTTTAGATTCTCTCTACAATGTCATCTGGAGTTTCAATAATTCCACGAGTGAATTGAGTCCCCATAATGTCATATCGACCGAAGCCAGGAGAATTCCAAGTCTTGATGCATCTATTTTGAGTCCAGGCCTCTCTCTTCCAGTGATTCCTATGTGCTTTGTCAGCAGAACACAAGCTGCTATGCACCTCTTGGGATGCCTTGACACCCTCACTCAGGCACAGGACGAAAGACTAATGGTGATCGAAGAGAACGAGACAAATCAGTCGAATCAGGACAAAGTTTACAGCCGTGAGGATTACGTGACAGTATCGAGATTTGAAAATCATGGAGGTGGATGGGGATACTCTGGTCATTCCATCGAGGCTATCAGATTCATGGCTGATACCGATATATTGCTGGGGGGTTATGGACTTTTTGGTGGTCGTGGTGAATACACAGCCAAGATACGATTATTTGATATTGGTATTGACGGTGGTGATCAAGAAAATGATGGTGAATTACTCGGTGAAACTGAAGAGATACCTTACGAGTGCGAGCCACGGCAGAAGTATTCAATATTATTTGAAGAACCTGTGCAATTACAGGCCAATAGGTGGTACGTTGCTTGGGCAAGAGTCAGTGGACCATCGAGTGATTGTGGCTCTGGTGGACAGGCTATGGTCACTGCTGAGGATCAAGTGATGTTTTACTTCAAATCATCGAAAAAATCGAATAATGGAACTGACGTTAATGCCGGACAAATACCCCAATTGCTGTATCGTGTTATCACACCCGAGAATCAATCACCAAATCGACCCAGGGACCAAACAGAACCTGTCTATATTCTCAGAAGAGAATTCAGCAGAATGGTAACCAAGGACTGCTTTCAATCACTCATTTCACTTTTACAATGGAGCTGGAATACTCTCAAGGCCAATCTCTCGGATACAGTCCACCGAGTAACTAGTCATCATTCTGTCCTGGAGATGGATCATCTCGTGTACATCAGTGAGGCAAGTCTTAGATTATTAAGAACTTATACTAACGAAATTTATCCAATTCAACCGATGAAAAAAACACCACCGGAATCAGTCAGATTGGCTGAGTCAATTGGTGAAGTTCGTGCGTTACTCCGTCAAATTTTGTCTGATCCGGTGCCAACGAATTCATTGAAATCATCATCCAAGGGGAAGACTATTAAGAAAAATGATAACAAAAATGATAACGGGTGTAGAATGATTGAGTTGATACTCGACGAGTGTCACAAGACATTTGTTGCTTGCTATCATGCATTTTATCCGACTGCCTATTTAAAGTGGACATCACTTTGCGAGCTTTTGTCAGACATCGATAAGGATCAGGGTACAACGAGTAAGGATCGCTTGCTATCAGCAGTGCTTGCGTCACTTTGCAACTCCATGGTACGTCTCAGATCTACATTTCCCATTTTAAATAATGTCATGGATAGCAGCGATGGCATAAAAAGACAATTGAGTCCATCAGATAATGCCGGATTACCAATGATGAACTCCACTGAAACCCACAATTATCCAATTCTCGTTGAGCAGATGAGTTACAAATCGCAGATTGAATCAACTGGTCGTGAAATATTCAACTGGTCATTTCGTCAAGTTCTTGATCGACTACTCGATTTAATTCTCATACCAGTTAAAAAATCACTCCTCCGTGAAAAATGCCATTCACTGGCTAATCTAGGATTGCACTGTTGCTATTTATTGGCACGTGTTATCGCGGAATTGGCAGCCCAATCTAGTGGTAATGAGGACGAAATTCAAGCGGCTTGTGGAAGATTTATGTACACGACACCATCGAGATTTACAAGGACAAATCAATTGAGAACTTGGAACACAGGTAATGGATCCCCTGATGCCATATGTTTCTCCGTTGATAGACCTGGAATAGTCATCGGTGGAATCGGTATTTATGGTGGTGTTGGTGTTTACAATTACGAGTTGGAACTGTTGGATGATTTGAACAACACTGGAAATGAGCCGTCTCACACCCAGAGATGGAGCAGTTTGGATTTTACACGCGGTGCATTTGGACCCGATGACTGCATCAATGATATCGTTGAACTCAAGTTCAGCAAGCCAGTGCCAATAAAGGAGAGCGTTAAGTACGCGATAAGATTGAGAAATCATGGTGGACGTACGAGCAATGGTGATTGTGGATTGAGTATTGTGAGAGGACCAGATGGTACTAATTTTACATTTTCCGTTTGCTCTCTGAGTTTTAACGGCACGACACAAGCGAGAGGTCAAATTCCTCACATATTGTATTATGCTAATCCTCAAGATTGTGAGAGCCCACAGACTAGCAAAGCCATTGGTGAAATGCAAGCGAGAAAATGCACACTGTCAATGACAACGACGATTATTCATCGTGCCAATGAAATTTTATCACTGGCTAGAGATCGCGCTGAGGACATGACAACAGCTCAAATTCTTGGTAATGCTACTTTTGTCACGACACTTCTACCTCTGGTTATGGCACACATAAGTCCTCTAGCAACATCAGATCCACGAAGTGGTGTTCAACTTTTGACGTTGATTCAGGAGATGCTGCCGCACGTTGCTGGATTGAATTTGCTTAATGCCATGGGTGGATCGCAGGTGTCACAGGACATTCAGGATACACCGAATAGCAATCACAATAATTCAATTCCTGTAACTACTAGTCATCATTATACATGGATCGAGAGCGAGCATCCATACAAACCGGCTAGTGTTTCATCGTACAAAGTTGCATTTCCCAGTACTGTTAAATGGATAACTCTCGAATTTACACCAGAGTGTGGTACATGTCAACCCGAGGACTACCTACAGCTTTACATTCCTAATATAACCACTTGCCGTACACCAGATAAGGAAGATGATACATTTAATATACCAGTTTTACATAAAATGAGTAATATTCCAAGTCAGTGGCCTCAGACTGCTGTAGTACTTCCAGGAAATGAAGTGATTTTCTCACTGGAAACAGCATCGGATTATATGAAAGATGATATAGCGGTCACATATGGATTCAAGTGTCTCGTTGTTGGATACGACTGGCTATCCGCTGGAAATGGCATGAAAAATTTGGAAATCGAGCTTGCCTTTCTCGGTGGTGCATGTGCTGCTAGTCTTATGAAAAAAAATCTCACTCTTCCCACGATATCCAGTGAGTATTGACCATTTATTTCCATTATTTGTTCATTATGATGGATTTATTTGAATGAATTGTTTTTTCGTTATGAGCAGTTGAGGAGATCGAGGAGAATTTGAAAATAGCTCAGGACACCGCCAGTAGAATATTCTCCATGCATTCGTCACTCCTGGGGCGGGGATTTGCGCTCTCGTCGTCGCTGTCAATCTCTCAAGCACTCGATGGAGTTTTGCCGTTTAGGTGAGTTTGAAATATTCAATATTCATACCTTCGTTATCAGTCATTGTGAGCATCGCCGGTTGTCAAATGCCGACGTATCGACAATTTGACGTGTCGAGAGCCCTCGACCAACTCTCGACAACTGCTGTACAGTTGTACGGAATTGTTTAAGTTAATATTGAAAAATCAGCGTGCAATTTAACTGGCGCGTCTCTCGGTGGGGAATTGAAATATTTTTATTGGACGGTTTGATGAGCAGGTAGATGATAATAGGATCGGGTGATATCGCATTCTTACGATAATTACGACTAAACAATTTTGCAGCTAGTATCAATTCAACAATTATTTATTTATCATTCGAAAAGTGTTAATTGGTATCGAGCGATTGGCATAGCGATTATAATTATTCTCACGTGACACGTTACGTCGGAAATGAGGTCGAGGTTTTTTTCTCTCTCATATTTCCACTTAGTTTTGAGATATTCCCATTCTGATATGCAATTTTTCTCTCATTCTCTCGTTATTATGGCACTATTGCCGAGTAGATTTTTCGACTCACTCTTACAATCAATTATTTTCTTTCTTTACAAGTATAAAAAGAAGAGCAACTAGGCACTACGTCACTCGGAATAAAACTAGAGTCGTTTAATTTTGATATTGATCTATTTAGTTTTTTTATGACACATATGAGTATGGAGAGGCTCTCCTCGTTTGGTTTAATACTAGAAATGTTTTTCATATTCACTGATTGAGTGTTTGTTGGAATCATTATCACTTCACAATTTGTACACTCGAAATTCGCGCTCGTCGATGATCTCTCGTGGATTTCTGGTGGAAACTGATGAGCGCGATGGCTCTGGTTACAATTCGGTAGTGAGTGGCTCAGCTTTTTCCACGATAACGTGAAATTCAGTCTCTCGGTATAGTCTACCATCGGGAACAACCATGGTAATTCTACTGTCAACTGGTGCACTTTGAGTGCTACCATTTCTACCGATAACTCCATTTTTCTGAGACACAACATCCGGTGCACTCGTTGGCACACTCATCCATCTATCTTGTCCTCCATTTTCTCTGCAGTACCAAATTATTATACCAATTACAAATGCCAAAATGACAATCAGACCGACAGCAGCCAGTAGAAGGTACATTATAGAGCTGCTGAGTGTGCAATTTGTCGCTTCAAATTCATCGAATCTCAGATAATTTGTTGAATCGTCGATACACATAAATGTTCTCTCCTCAATCGCATCAAAATTCATTTTTCGTACAGCTCTGGTCGACAGCGAACGGTAAAATCGAGGATAAATAGTGTAATTAAGAATATTATTCATCCACGTTTTCAAATAAGTACAATCACAGGTACGATTGATGATTACATTGTCGATAATCGGTTGAAAATCATCTCGATTAAACATAACGGATCCCTCCTCAAAGTTATTCAACGTATTATTGGTAAAAGTAATATCGTAATACGATTCAGACTTGATTCCATTATTTCCACGATCAGCTCGTATACCCAGGAAAGATCCCGTCACTAAATTTTTAAATGTATTGTTCTTAATATGAACTCCACCAGTTGCTGCGATATCAAACGCCTCAGCCTCTAAACTCTCTATAACGCAATTCTGAATTGACACGGTTTTCGGTTTTTTAATAACAAATGCTGAACTCTTGACGATGCCCATTTTAACGCCATCGAGTCGAAATGTCGTTAGTACTTCAAGATCATTAATAGCTCTGCTCGGTACTTCTGATCCAAGTGTACCTCGTATTATGTGAAGATAGTTGACATCAAATTTCTTAAATGCCTGCTCCTCTATTATATCGAATGTGCAGTCCTCTAGTCTGAGGGTTTCAGTGCCAGCGAGATTGGTGAATGCAAAGGCATTGATGAGATTAATTTGAACATTTTCGAAGCTTATCGCCTCCATATCACCGCGAAATGTGTAACTGGGGAGTACCTGAATGTTGGATGATCTGATGGTTACACTGGTGCGCATTGTCTTGGGTGATAGTTCAAAACTCTCGGTGAATAATGTCAGGTTGTTAATGTCGATGAATTCAATGGATCGTAAATTACTCATTCTCGTTAGACTCGAATTCATAAGAATTACTGATGGACAATTGCGAATTATTATCCAGTGGGTGAATGAGCTCAGGGGATGATCACCATCTGACGTTAGAATTAACTCCTGAAATAATACGATAGCATTAATTGGTGACTATATCATTATATCACTGTAGATAAAGGCACTAGGAGTTGACAATGACTCATGTAGACTTTGTGGAACATCAAATGATCACGTAATGTGTCAGTGCGTCCGCATTCCGTCAATCTTGTTATCAATATCTGATTTTTTTGAATTTCTTTCTTGTGCGTTGAGGTGGTGTTAAAATATTGAGAATTAATGGATGAATGGATGGATGGAGAGAAAAATGGGTGGAGGTGATTTTTCTGAGGGCCTCGGTGGCAGGTTTTGTAATGGATCGAGAAGAATAAAGGGTCAGGAGAAGTCCTGGGGGCACGTACCCGAAGGCGATGCAATAAATATCTCGCTGGCTCTCTCACGTCCGGAATTTGAATATATATATTTTTTTCTTTTATTAGAGGAATCTGAATATTATTGCCCAAGCATTTTCTTAACTCTACCGCTTCCTCGAGCTCTCGGGAAAACCTTTTTGCACCTGAATGCCCTCTTATATTCTCCATTTTTTTTTTATTCCACTCCATTCTCTGATTTTATTGGGCATTTGAATTATTGTCGGGGGAGATGTCGAGGCTTTGGGATTAATTATTATTCGGGATTTTATATCAGCTGTGACGACTAATCATTGTCGCGATTAGAAATGGCGGAGTGAAACGCACGTTTTACGATCCATAAAGGATTCATGGGGAACAATTTCCTCCGGCGTAACTAGACTTTTCCATTGTTTTGTTATGTACATGGGTTTGCGTATACAATATACCGTGTCGGGAGTCCCGTCGTGAGAAATCTTGATTATTTACGGCTTTTCATTCTCAACTTTACGTCGAGAATTATTTGAAATATGAAATTTTTGCTAAACGAGAGCGAGACCTCGGGAATAATTAGAAAAATTGGAATACTTGATGCTAAACGTATTTACTGTCGTGATTATTTCTACAGTTGATTTTAATCATTATACCGACGACAAATTAGTGGTGCGTGTTTCATCTAGAATATTTATTATTTATTATCATTCGTCTTTTTTCTCGTCTCAAATTAATCCACCGATTCTCACCAATTTTTTATGGCAGAACGAAGAATATTTCTGGACTGAGAATTTTTTCTCGACTCTATTATATCCCTTAATTTCGTTACGGACACGGGTTTTATGGTTTTGTGTTTTATGGCGTCACGGAACCCTCGGCCATTCTTTTCTCTTCAGTTTTGTATTTCACCTTCATTACATGTTGGAAAATAAACGGACTCCACCTCTACCTATAACTCTCCTCGAACCCTATATATATATATTTTCATTTTTCGCTCGTGGGGAAATGAATAAACGTGGAAATTGTGGAGTTGCTTTTTTTGGGGGGGTACGTTGAAAATTGCCAATCACGAGTAAGAAATCAACAATCAAAAGCCAACGGGGACTGGTGATTGATTCGGTGGAATAATAGAAATTAGAGAAACGAGAATCGTGCGGTTTTGCCCATGGCTGGAACGAAAAATAAACACACGGGGGGGGATTGGTAAAATTGAACTGAAGTGAGACTTTTTATTCATCAACTTCCTTCCCAGTTTTCGTCGATCCGATTGTTCATTCCCTCTCATTTTTTAAAAACTCTCTCTATTTACCTTCGTGATTTTACAATGTACATTGGCCCTGGTGAATACATACCTCAACTTGATCCGCGCAATTGCAAGTGAGTCCCCCGTAAGAATCACAATTGCATGCGGATGAACTGCACATTCCCTCGGTATTTGAAGCATCTATTGTTGAAAAACCACTCCAAAGTAAGCACACGATGGTAATACTCAATAGGAGCTTCATTACTCCCATTTTCCAACAGTTTATCCCTTAGTCACGTTAATAGATATTTTTGATAATTCCATTTGTCGAATTTACGTCTTGTGCATTGTCCTGGATATTATTATTGGATTGTTTAACCAGCGGGGAAAATAATTACTCAATTGCTCCATTTCTCTTCGATTATCCATCAGTCGAGTGACAGTTTTGATATTTATCTATTCACATTTGATTTTTATAATGGATAATTATTCTGTAATTATTGAAAATTATTTCTCTCGAGATTTTTCTCGGTGTTTCAATCTCTGCTTCATAGAGTACTAGGTGGTAATGTATAGGCGAATAAATGTCTTCATCTATGAAAAGATTCTCTGTATTCCGTGAAGGTTGGAGTTCACACCGGAAGCATTAACTATTCCGCAATAATTTATTAATATTTCCAGTCCTCCAGAAAATTCAGTTTAACAAAAAACATCCATAAATTCAACTGCCGCATCAATCATTCAGCTGCAATGATAATTACCGCTGGCCCATATATTTTTTCTCATTTTATAATTACCGTCTGCAAACACGTGAATTAAATCTTTCAGTTGCGGATAATTTCTGAGTGGTTATTCATGTATTCAAATTCAGCTTGAGGCATCTCTCGGATGTTCTAATGATAATTACTGATTTATTTATTTTCTAGTTTATTGATACCGATTGATATCGATTAATTTGATCTAGTTAGGATTTGATAATTTCCAGTCGTTATTTCAATATTTAATTTTCACTCAATTGTCTCATTCCACTGGTACATCAACAATCAATGCAATAAACAAATTCGCTGACATCTGCTGAGTGAATTCCAGTGTTCACTCGACTCGTTTTACCCAGCACTGAAGACGATTTAATAAATTGAAACCAATGAAAATCATCTGGTGCGTGATATTTTGACATGTGATACACACACTGACACTTGAATTATTTGCTCCTCGGTGCGATAAGATTATTCCAGTGGGAGTTATGAATTTTACCACTAAATGCCCTCATTGATAAAATTTATTGCTGCATGATGGATTTTTTCTTGATTTTTTCAATTTTTTCGGTAACTCTTTCGTGGGTTCACGGTATTTTCGTTATTTCCGGTATTTTTGGTGGTGATAAAAATTTTTTTGACTGGTTGATGGCGATGGGGGAATGTCGTTGAACGACATACAGCCAGAGACTGTTGGCCTTTCGAATTCTCCTACGGGTTTGCACCTCGAAACCGACGGCGTTATCGCGCTATCCCCTTCTCTGTACTCTCGCAAGCGCAGTTATTCTCCCACTACATCTTCCAATCGTGTATGTACACTGTTTATAACATATATGTATCATACTTGATGTATTCCAATACACCTTGCACTCGCGAGATTGCAGGTACTAGTTTTTCCTTTTTTTAATAAAAAAATTTTTAAAAATCCATCGGAAGTGGTGCACTAGGTTCAGTACACTTTTTCGATATCAGTTTTTCGATAAAATCACACTAACGAAGGAAGATGGCGGTTTTTTCGTTGGTACATTTTTTGGAGAGATAAACGAGATCTAGAAAAATGATATCTGATGAAATTTCAGTATCTCTGCTCAGTTCCGAGATTTTCGGGGAAAACTCAGTGGATGAATAATTTTTTTTTGGTAATTTTGCTCATGGATTTATCCGGTTGGTGGTGTTAATTAATTATCCAATTAAATTTTCGATTGGTGAAGATTATGATCTTCAGAAATCCATAACGGTGAGATGAGTCTTGAATTTCGGTTTATACTATCTTCTCTGGTTTCAATGGCTCATTAGCGTTTGTTCAATTATTCGGGGAGAGTGATTATTTTTTTCAAACAAAAACATTTCTCATTATTGAGTTGATTTTTTATTCTTAAAACTGGTGCATTAGATATTCGAGGGCATGCACGCGTCGTTATAAAAGTTCTCAACGATTTTATCTTTCAACAACTACCCCGGTCTAGAGATAAAAAAAAAAGAGTGGAAAAATTGTGAGAGTTCATGATCGCAAAAAGGGTGAGGTATCAAGATCGGATTTCCCTTCAACTTTAAAGCCGGAAGTTCCGTCTTTTCAGTAACTGAAATTCAGTACGTGAAAGTCAACTGCAGAATCAGAATGCAAGTGTAAAATAAAATGAATAGAAATTCAAAAAAAAAATGTTTCCAAAGTCTCGAGAGATAATTAGCAGATTAATTAACAAATCATTACTATTTACGATAGGAAAAATTCTTGCGATTTATCGGGCATTTGATTGGAGAGACAGTTTTATTTAATTGACACTCCAAAAAATGCGGGCTGCCCCTATTTACTCCCAGAGGTGTGAGAATAAATTAATTACTAAGTAGTCAAGCCTAATTATCAATTAATTATCAATTAATCAGAGTTAATTATCAAAGAATTATTGATCAACTGGTTGACAAGGTTTCTTCATCAATGGGGTGAATTTATTCGAGGGAATAATTTATTTAAATTTTGATGGAATTAATGACTTTTCAGAGGGCGTAAGTCGTACGGTTCGTTAGTCTTGTCAATCATCGAAATGCATATTCTGTCCATTGAGTTGTAAGTCCATCATATGTTTCCACATACATATTGTCTCCGCTGTCGGTACATATGAAAATTTGCATAGAGCTAGATTAGGGGTGAATATACATAGAAATACATAGACTGGATGCGTGTTGGTTTCGATTCCATGTAGTTGAAAGTCGGGTGAGCTAATTGCACCGAGCGCCGCCTGGTTTTAATTCCATTACGTGGTGCGTCGTGTAGATGCAAATTTTCTGTGCTTCCATTGCCCTTCCATGAATACACCAATCCCTTATTTTCGTTTTCTTGGTGGTGGTGGGAAGAGAGCACCAGAAACTAGTGAATTATCGTTTGTGTAACCGACCAGAAAAAAATATATAGTCACTATTCTAATTCTCGTCTTTTGGGTTTATTGGTGAATGTTGGGGGTGCGTTTGAACCTGAGGAAAATGGAATAATCTCGTGGATGAGGACGTCTTGGTTGTCCTCTTTGAAAATTTGAATTTTCAATTATTTAATTTCTTAGTCTCCCTCTCTCAAGAGAACTTCGCGCTCAAATATTGTTTTTTACTATTTTTCCGGGGTTCAACGGTTTTATTATAAATCAACCCCTGGAGCCGGGGATGAAAAAAAAATGTCATTTTTTTTCATCTGAATAAAATCATGTGTAATCACTCATTTATTAATTTTAATATTCGATAAAATAAATAAATAAACTGGGGATAACTTCAAAATTTTAGGCACAAGCTATTATTCAATAATTCAATAATCCGTTCGTCAATCTGATAAGATGTAGAGTCTCAGGAATATCGGAGTGATCTTCACTAGTTCTAGTGCTAGTACTGGCACTAGGTAAATCCCTTTTCCCGTGTAATTACAGTGCACATTGTTGAATGGTGTAGCATGCGGCCCTGTTAACGTTCTAGTTCTCCCTAGGGCCCTCCTACATCTACACTATGTGATGGTACCTTAATATCCTTTGGGCGATCTATCACCACCTATTCCCCTCTATTCCCGTCTATTCCCCTCTATTCCCCACTATTCGAGGCCCTGGAACACTCGATATGTTGCTAATACCCCAAGCAATTGATGTCCTTGTTAACTAACTGTCCTTCGATCAGTGTTTGGATAGGACCATAAACATTCTAAATCACATCAAAATTTCGCACAGCCCTTCGACCAAAATTCCACTCAATTTTCAAAATCAATTTTTACGCGATAAACAAGTGAAATTAATCAATAATAATCACGCTGTGTGATTACGAATTCTAGATTCTGAATTAAATATATTTGTTTAGGTTTGTTTATTATTAATTTTTTTATTTTACTCAATTTTTATCTCGGGATTTCGAATTTTCCGGGTCGAATCGACAAATTTAAAAACTCCATCCCAATCAATTCGTAAAACAATTTTTTTTTCTCGTACAACTGTTATTATTATTATTGTTTATTATTGTTTATTATTCTTTATATGGTGATTCTCTGGAATTCACATGAATAATTAAATGGTGCGTTTGGTATTCCGTGATTGACGAAATATTGATGAATATTTTATTTGGAGGTCGTCCCACCGGTGATTCTCAAATGAAATGATATTTTGTCATTAATTGATATTGAATGGAGTATTTAAAATAAAAATGTGTATTGAGTTTCTGATTGGACACGTGTAACGAAAAAAAATAGAGACTCTGATACCGAGTGGTTGGATAGAAATAGCGGAAGTGAGAGAATCCTCTGGGAATATTTGGTTGAATACACAGTACCCCGAATAGAGTGTAGATATCTCTTCAAGTACTTTATGTTTGTGTCGTGTTATGTCGTACGGTGAGAATGCAATTTTGTAAATTCGCGGGCAACGAGGCGCGATACTCGTTTCGCATGCAATTTATGCATCACTGGTGCATAATCTAACGCGCTTTGTAGCCCAGATTTTAGAGAAGATGTTTTTATTTTTATTGCTATTTTAATAGTTGCGGTTAGTCGTGGAATTAATTTATTGAGAGTTATGGTTACTTTGGATGGTGGAACAATCAATTTAGCTAGTTTCGATCGATGAGAATTCAATCGTGAAGATGGGAAAAATGTTTGCCCAGCGGGAAGATTGAATTCTTAACCTTCTATCGGGGTTCTCTACTCTCTCTTGAAAATTCATTTTGACTGTCAAAATCTAGAAATTCAATCTTCAGTTCAATCGAATTTTGTTGGACACTTTTAACCAGCGGTTACTCGAAATTCTCTCGTTATTTCATCTCGATGGTATGAAGTTTCAGCAATAATCAAGACTTGGAACTATTTTCAAAGTACATGAGAGAGAACTTTTCATTTTGTCGTTGAAACTTGTCAACTAGTCAACTTGTCAATATCACAGGTTGAAATGAAAACTTGGAGTCGAGTGATTATTATATATAACAATAATTAAAGTTATTGTTTCATTTGACATACATTTACATATTTCTCAATGGAATCGTGGACATTTTTTTTTTTTGCGGACGGAAAAGCCGGTGTTGACGGAATCATTGTGAATTATTCTTTGGGATAAACTATTTCTCCGGAATTTGCACTCTCGGCTTTCACTAAATTCACTCGTTACGGGCTCTAACTATAAATCGAGAGCTTCCGGTTGACCGAACTCTCAACCTGCACGAACTTTGATCACCACCGATTTCGGTGAATTCACTTGCTGTTAACCACAAAAGTGTATATACCTAGGAAGCCCCTTGGAACTAGGAACGTACGATTCGAGGATAACACTTCCGATATGTACATAATGCTGACTCCATGTGGGTTTATTTGAGTTACTCGAGGTTTACCAAATAATCTCACAAGACTGCTCCCTTTTTTTATCAATCAATCACCAATTATCGATTCAATTACTTTTGTTCAATTAAAAATATCCAGAACACATGAAAATTTTAATTGAATCCAAGAAATTTCTCATTCGAATCTTAAGTGATAATAATAATTATTATCATTAATTAATTTGAATTTGAATTTGAATTTGAATTTGAATTTGAATGAATTGAAAATTGAGAGAAGTTATCATTTCGTTTGGATTTTCTTGATTATTTTTAAAATTCACAGTAATTGAACGAAATTTTAAATTTTATTTCCGGTTTGAGAATATAATTAATCAAGTAATGAATTTGTTGAATAAGCACTGAGTTGAATTGATGTCGTGTCCTGTAAATAAAATGAAAAGCGAATTTGCGCTACAAAGTCAATGGATCCGGTGAGATTTACTCGGTGTGCAATCGAATGGGGTTGAGTTGAAAAAAAGTCTTTGGAGTTTTCGTTTCAAAGGTTGAGCTGGATATAAGTCTGGGGATAAAGAATGAAGGGTACGAAGAAGTGGTGATATTCTCAGTGGTTTTATCGGTGGAATTGCATCGGTGGTGGACGTCCTGCCAAATTCCTTGGGTCCTGCACATGCGGAAATTGCATTCCCCAGGTCCCACGTTAGATATGATATAGATAGGGCTGTTGCAAGAAATGACAATAAAAAATTCAAGATATCCTAGAAAATCCATTTGATGATAATTATTTGAAAAATAATTTCGCTCTTCATCTTCTCGTTTTATTTTAAAAATCAATTTTTATCCCACGGTGACGAACAGGATCTTCTGATAATTATCATTATTATTAATTATTATTGAGGTATTAAGAGTAATGGAT